ATAAACAGTATACTATGTTCATGATGACACGGATTTACTATAAACAGTATACTATGTTCATGATGACACTGGATTTACTATAAACAGTATACTATGTTCATGATGACACTGATTTACTATAAACAGTATACTATGTTCACGATGACACTGGATTTACTATATACAGTAGAAAATGTTACAATAGGTTACAATATGGTGAAGTAAACCGGACTCAAAACCCCATAGATAAAATCATTTCACCTTAAAACTTTCCATATTCATCAAAGTGGGAATGAATTAGTTTGAACCAGAAATACATCAGCATACTTGTGATTCTAAATATTGCAGTGTAAGATATTAGGTCTAGCAGATGATTATAAATATTGCAGTGTAAGATATTAGGTCTAGCAGATGATTATAAATATTGCAGTGTAAGATATTAGGTCTAGCAGAAGATTCTAAATATTGCAGTGTAAGATATTAGGTCTAGCAGATGATTCTAAATATTGCAGTGTAGATATTAGATCTAGCAGATGATTCTAAATATTGCAGTGTAGATATTAGATCTAGCAGATGATTCTAAATATTGCAGTGTAAGGTATTAGGTCTAGTAGATGATTCTAAATATTACACTGTAAGATATTAGGTCTAGCAGATGATTCTAAATATTGCAGTGTAAGGTATTAGGTCTAGTAGATGATTATAAATATTGCACCAAGATATTAGGTCTAGCAGATGATTATAAATATTGCAGTGTAAGGTATTAGGTCTAGCAGATGATTATAAATATTGCAGTGTAAGGTATTAGGTCTAGCAGATGATTATAAATATTGCAGTGTAAGATATTTGGTTTAGAAGATGATTATAAATATTGCAGTGTAAGGTATTAGATCTAGCAGATGATTATAAATATTGCAGTGTAGATATTAGGTCTAACAGATGATTCTAAATATTACAGTGTAAAGTATTAGGTCTAGCAGATGATTCTAAATATTGCAGTGTTAGGTATTAGGTCTAGCAGATGATTCTAAATATTGCAGTGTAAGGTATTAGGTCTAGCAGATGATTATAAATATTGCAGTGTAAGGTATTAGGTCTAGCAGAGTTCCCGAACAGTGTGCTTGCATTTAAAGCTTTATCATCTTTCAGGTATATTGCTATTTGTTCCGGGTTGAAGATAACGGCCAGTCTCCTTTTCTTCCTTGATTGGGTGTTGATATCATGGCAACACAGGAAGGAATTGACAGAAGGTCCAGCCATGACTGTCGGAGAGATTGTTTCCTCTATCATCTCCCTGGACAGACTCTCGGCCATTGGTAGAAGTGACTTTGGCGGAGGAGAAGAAGTGTCTCCTATAGAAGAAAGCTTTGACACAAGCCAGCATGGGAAAGATCGTGGACACAGACATGGATCAAAACATCATGTTAGTTTTGTAGGTGTACCAACATAACATTTTAATTGTGAGTATATTTATAAACACGAGGGCAATGAATCCAGTGAACAGAATGTAAGTACATACGCAGAGACTCAAGTCTATATTTAGGTATTCAACTGTTCTTCGCGAAGGTAAAATTATGAAAAAGATAGAACACTATGATTGACCACTTAAACTAGCATCATTTCTCTTATCCTGCATTCATTATGTACTTTTAAAGGTTTCTTGATTTTTATCAAGTGATTTCTTGCACTGAAGGAGAAAATCATTTGTGTAACCAATCATAGTGTGGTGAATGTTAAAGATGTTGTGATGATCAACTTCACAACACGAGCCTATAAGGTGTGTCGAGCCTATAAGGTGTGTCAAGCCTATAAGGTGTGTCGAGCCTATAAGGTGTGTCAAGCCTATAAGGTGTGTCAAGTTAAAATGTATTCAAAATAAAGTTTTTAAGTAAATATTTATGTTTGTTGTGACTTTTTTTATATTATTATAAATCAACATTCGTTAACAGTAGAGAATAATGAACTGATGTTGAGTTTATCATACAAACACAGTTATCAGTTGTTTGAAGAAAACTTCTGATTTATAACATCAAAACCTAACCTGACAAAACATTTTATATCAAATGTACAATTGGCTGTCATTAAAAAAAAAAACTTGCCTCTTAATAGCATAGCTCATGTGGGAAATATATAAATATGTTAAATTTGAAACAAATATAAATATATCTGTGTTACATGTGTAGGACTGTACATCTATCTGTACCAGTCTGTGTTACATGTGTAGGACTGTACATCTATCTGTACCAGTCTGTGTTACATA